TCGGTCATGGGGCTTGAACTCTGGGCCTGGGCGCTGTCCCTCAGCTCTTCAGCTCAAGGCGAGTGCTCTACCACTTGAGCTACAGTGCCACTTCCAGTTTTCTAGTGGTTTATTGGAGATAGGAGTCTCACGGTCTTTCCTGCCCAGGCTGGCTTTGAACCGTGATTCTCAGATCTCTGCCTCCTGAGTAGCTAGGATTACAGGTGTGAGCCACCGGCGCCCGGCTCCATGAGACTCTTATCTCCAATTAACCACCAGAAATCAGAAGTGGGGCTATGGCTCAGAGTGGTAGAGCACTAGCTTAGAGCAAAAGAGCTCAGGGATAGCGCCCAGGCCCTGAGTTCAAGCCCCACAACCAACAACAAAAAAAGGAAGGAAGATATCAAGCATGAATCTTTATTTTGGAATTAGGAAAGTATCTCCCCTTCTTCCTCCCACTGAACTTAAAGAGGAGATTAACATAGTCTATGGATGGATGGTAGCTCCTTCTACATTTCCATCCTCCAGCCAAGGATTCTCAAGCTACACTAGCAGCCATTCAGAACATGCTGTTTTCAACTCTCTCCAAGCTAAGGCTTTAATTATTAAGGTCACAGGGAGCCACCCATAACTCGAGTTTCTTCTAACATACAGTGCTAATGATAGCAACTTCTCTTTACCACTGAGTTCAAATATCACTGCAGCCTATTCCCCCCAAAAAGGAAAACAGGTTCTAGATAAATTGTGATTTATTTAAAAAGGGAAAGATTTAATAACAGGGCTTTTGAAAGAAATGTTGGGGGAGGGAGATTAGCAAATTTCACTGTTAATTTCAAGGCCTGTGTCCCTGAGCTTGGCCATACCAATAATAGAAACTTCTAGAGCAGAGGAAGCTTGGTGGAGGTTGAAAGGCATGAAGTCACAATGACCTCAAAAGTCTGTTATGACTTGCCATAGCATAGACTGTACAAAGGACAAGTCGATGGGGTCAAGGTGAGGGCTAAGCAAGTCAGCCCAGCCAGGTGTGGCGGGTGGAGGGCCAGGAGTGCCGCCTACGATTAGAGTGAAATGGCCGGCACTGGGTCAGGTCTGTGGTGGACGGGCCATGGATGGGTCAATTGGGGTGAGTACACTGAGAGAGAGGGGTTAGAGGTAGGAGGACTGGAGGTTATGAGGGGGGGCCAGTGCATGTTCACCCATCATGAGGAATATCATTGGTGGAAATCAGGACTTTCATAATCAGAAGGAAAATTTTCACATTTAGATCTTGGAGCTAAATAAACACTACTTTTGTAGAAAGACAGGTGGGTGTTTGTAATATAATAGAGATAAAAGATAAAGCTGTGTGATGGTTCTCAGTGGTCTGAATTGAAAGTTTTTGTTTGGAAATGTTTTGAAAGTCCTCTGCACAATAACTTTTAGCCAGATTAACTACTTATGCGTTACTACCACAAACTGGGAATGCCCATCCTAGCAAATGGAATAAGGTCTTCGAGGGTGTGGTGGAGAGGTGCTGGACAGTGCTCCTGAGGGGCAGTGCTCCTGGGAGGCCTGGGAGGATCCCTCAGCCTTCATTAGCTCAGCTAATGAAGGCTCATTATCAATGGTCTTTCTTTTACTATGGCACAGTGAACCAGCTAGAACAAGAGTCAAAGCAGTGAGGTCTGCCCATACATTTTTATAGCTTGGTTTAAGGCTTTGAATAGGTCACTTAAATTCTCTAAGCTGCCAGGTGCTGGCGGCTCACACCTGTAATCTTAGCTACCAAGGCAGGAGAGACCTAAGGACGGCGGGTCTAAACCAACCCAGGCAAGCAACTCCGTGAGACTCTTATCTCCAGTTAACCACCCGAAAACCCAAAGTGGAGCTGTGGCTCAACGTGATAGAGCACTAGCCTTGAGCGGAAAAAGCCCAGAGACAGCACCTAGGCACTGAATTTGAGCCCGACAAACAACCACTACCACCAAAAATTCTCCTGAGGAGGCAGACGGGGAGCCTGGACCTGGTCCTGGCTGAGCAGCGTGTGCAGCTGCTCCTGTACCTCCTGCAGGGACTCCATGGTGCTGGGCAGCTTGCCCACACTCCTCTTCACTGGAGAGGGCCAGGCAGGGCGTCCTTGTCTGCCCCCAGGGAGGACCCCAGGCCTTCCAGGCATCCCTGGAGCACAGCCAGGCACTGTTGGTGCTCCTGGCTCTAGGAGTGACTCTAGGCTCTCTGTCTGGCGCATAGAAGCCCCCTGAACCGAATGGACGCCATCCTCAATACTCTGGAACCCGGAGTCTAGTCCCTGGTTCTTCTGGAGTGCATGTAAGGCATGGAAGCTTCGGAAATCACCATTTTCCTGGGGCCTCTAAGCCTCAGCCTTCAGCTGACATAGCTCTTCTTCCAGCCTCCTGCTCTGCTGGGGGCGGCAGGAGGTGGACTCCTCCGAGTGGAAGAGTTTCTCAGAAAGGGCTGCAGGGCGGCATGCGCCGTGTCTACCATCTCCTTAAACGCCTGCTGCTCCTGCTTGAGCCTCACCAGTTCCCACGCCTCTGTGTAGACGGCAGACTCTGGTCTGCGCGAGCGCCGCAGGGCCTCCGTGCCCGTCCCTGGACCTCACAGCGTCTGTATGTCCTCCACCGCTAGCGGTCTGTATGTCCTCCACCGCTTCCTTTAGGGCCTTCAGCTCCTGCTTGTGCCCCTTGGATTCTTCCAAAGAGGCGACCTTTGCCCTGACATCATTCATTTCCTTCTGGCTCCTCTTCTAGACTTCACTGAAGATGGCAATGTTGTCCTTGATGGATTTGTTACGCTCTGTCAACCACTCCTCCCCGTGTTCTCCAGGGACTGAAGTCCTGCTTGAGGGCATCTTTCACCACGCGGACGACATCTGAGAGGTCTTGGAGGATCTCATTCTGTAGCTTCTGTAGGACTTCACTGATGTGGTTGATCTCACTTTCTCCTTGCTTCACCACCTTCTCCGTGAGGTCCTGCTTCTGCCGGGAGCTTCTCAAGGTAAACTTAAAGGTCCCAAATGTGGCTTGCAGAGACTGCACCTTCTGCTTGATATGTCTCTAGATAACCTGAAATCCTCAGTGAGTCATGTGGAGTCAGGCTTGAAGCTGCTCAGGAAAGCCGTGGACAGCTTGGTCTTTTACTCAGTCAAAATTGAAACCAATGAGAACAAGTTAGAATCAGCCAAGCATTTGCTAGATGACCTGAGGAATGATCTGGATGGTTGTTTGTAAAAGTTGAAAAGATTCACAAGAAGATCTAATTGAACTGTGTGCACGGTGCGCCCTGATTCCAAGACCAGTTTCTCATGACCAAAAAAAAGTGGTAGTTTCTTCCCACGTGCTCTGTCTCATTTCTTATCTCCCCTGAAGAACACAAAATGCCACCTGAACACCAAGCCATTCTGTGCTTGGTTAATTTATTTGTAATTACCACACACAGTTGGTTCTTAAGGTCTCTGCTTCTGCTTTGGGTTGGGTTTCCCGAAGGCCCTGCTCCACCTGTGTCTGAGGTGTCTTTTAGAAAGGATGTATGTTCTGTCAGAAACATGACAGTGGCTTCAACTGAGGATTAACAGAAGCAGATGAACATCAAAAAAAAAATCCTGTTTGGCAGGCAGATTTCAAGTTAAAAAAATAGGGGGAGCTTTTTTTTTTTCCTAATCGTCTTTAAGGAAAATCAATTCTACATATTTTTTTTATATTTTTGGCTGAAATTTTTATGATGTATCTTTCACATGTCTTCTCCTGGTTCAAATTCACAGGTGTCAGCTCTGAATGAGGAAGGGAAATGCCTCCCCCTCCCCCTTAGCTTATTTTAAAAGAATCAGCTACGTGGGCTTCACCCCCAAGATGTGACTTTCCTTCCTGGGTCATGGCTGTGAATTAGAGAGTACAGCACCCAGCCACCTGGGCCCAGGTGGCCGCCAATCTGCATCAACTCCTATGAGGGCCCTCAACAATACATAGGAAGGAAAATCTTTGGGCTTTTGAGAAATGGTTAAGAGATGTCCACACAAGAATGGGGAGTGTAGGCTGAATCTTTTAACTCCATGAGGGTGAAAGGGGTCTGTTGGGGGTGGAAGGGTCTGCTGTGGGCCCACCCGTCTGTCAGTGAGGATCTGTGTACTTCCTCTCTCTGATTGATTGCTGTATTCCTTCCCTTTGAGCTGCATTGTTCCTTCATGGCCATCTTGCCCTACCGAGAAAAAGAAATTTTTTTAAAAAACACACACAAAAAAAAAAAACAAGGGGGGAAGCCAAAAAGAAAAAAAAAAGGCTTACTGTGAAATAAGCAGTATGGCTTTTTTAAATTCTTAATAAACACAAGCTTTGTTACAAAAAAGAAATGATGTGCTTGAATTTGTAGCAAATAAAAAGGCTAGGTCAGGGTTCCTCAAACAAGGAAACCTATTAGCTGCAGAAGGGTTAATGTTAACCTTAAAGTTGCTAGGGAACAAAGCCATCTGTGTGGTGCTCTTCACTGCTGCTTTGTTAACCAGATTCCTGTGCTATGGAAAGGTCATCCCAAAGACTGATTCTGTGCCCATGGAAATTGGCAGCTCTCTTTAGGATTGACCCAGGCTTGCCCAGTCCCAGCAGATTGGGGATCAATGGAAAGAAGCTTCTTGCCTGCAAGAGGCTAGACTAGCTAAAGGCTGTGTGACTGGAGCCAAAGCACACATAACGAGACTGGCAGTTACACTCATATGGCAAGTCTGGGGAGATTCTTGTCCCTAGCCTTCAATTAGCAGGATTTTACCCAAACAAGAAGTCTCTGAAGGGCTGGGAAGGTAGCTCAGTGGTAGAGCACTTGCCTTGCATGCCTGAGGCCCTGGGCTCGATTCCTCAGCACCACATAAGCAAAAAGAAAAAAGCCAGAAGTGGCGCTGTGGCTCAAGTGGTAGAGCGCTAGCTTTGAGCTGAAGAGCTGAGGGACAGCGCCCAGGCCCAGCATTCAGGCCCCATGACTGGACCCAAAAAAAAATACAGCACCTAGGCCCAGAGTTCAAGCCCCACAACCAAATAAAATAAAATAAATAGAAAAGAGCAATTAAGAATTTCATAAAAGGAATGGCTGCCTTAATCCACAATAACCTCCTCTACAATTGGCTTCTACTACAAATTCTAGTGATCCATTCCTCTCATCCTCTTTAA